CATCCGATAAAGGATTTTGAAGGCGAGACCGGGGGATACAAATATTTGTTGGTTATAAAATCCGATATTCCGATATATCGGCCGATATTTAAAAAAAGTAATATTTCAGAAACGCACAACAAAACATTAACAGGTTTCCCTAACGTTAGTTATTTGTAGTTATTTATGAGTTTTAACTAAAATAATATAATGCATTTTAAAAAGAAACTTTTTATTTTTCCTCGTCCATTTTATTTAATTTTTGAAATATTCATTTATCGGCCATTATAACTGCCGATACTGATAGTTTGGAAAATGCCTAATATCGGCCGATAATATCGGCCTGCCGATAAATCGGTCTTGCTCTATTTAAAAATGTTGTTAAATGTACTTTACTATTAAAAAATGTGGGATCTGTAAGGTTTTTGAATAAGTATCTTATGCTAAGGCTGCATTTATTTGACTGAAAATACAGTAAAAAAAAAAATACTATTAATTCCTGTGATGACAAAGCTGAGTTCATCACCATTACTCCAGTCTTCAGGGTCACTTGATCCTTCAGAAATCATTGTTATATGCTGATTTGCTCTCATGAAGCATTTCTTATTATCAGTGTTATCAAAAGTTTTTTTTTTTTTTTTTTTTTTTTATTGAAAACAGATTTTTCAAGATTCTTAAATGGAATAGAAAATTCAAAAAGAAGCATTTGTTACTCTGTGAATGACAGTCATCATTAGTCATGTCGTCAATGTCAGTCACTTTTGACCAATTTAATGTATCCTTGCTGAAGAATACATTAGAAAAGTATTAAAAATCAAAAAATAAATGCAAATTCTGTATTTTTTTAAAGCGTTTTCAAATCGTTTCTATTTGCTTTTTGCTTTTTGTGTTTCTATGCTTTTTTTAAATGTAATCTCAAATTTTTAAACAATAATAAACAGTTTATTTGTTTATTTATTTGTCATTTATTTATTTACATTTTTCTGAATCTGAGTGAATAAATAGATCAATATCAGTTTTACATGTCTCTATTACTCTATTTGACTAACTTCTTAAAACATCTTTTGATTACTCAAATCAATTTATATTTGATTCAGCAAAGCAAAATCAATATAAAAACAAAAAGGTTGTTATTAATCTGTCAGCTGATTTGAAAAGCCATATTTATTAATTTGTCGTATATTGTAAGGTTTTCCTAACCAGGGGAATTATAATATTAGCTTCTAGAGTCATGCAGGTTGCTACATGTGTAACTGCGTTGTTCAAATCGCTTGCTTGTCTGAAGAACACGAAACTTGGTATTTTGACCTCCTAATGAGTGTTTGTGTGTGTTTTCGCAGACATGCCCATCTTTGGCCAATGTCCTGCACAGGATGACTTCTACCTGGTCATGTGCAGCCACTGCAGTCAGGTAGTCAAACCCCAGGCCTTCCAAGCACACTACGGTAAGACCACCTTCTGCTCTCCACAGTTGACTTGCTCTCTCTACTCTCCCTGCTGTCTTCAATAGAGGTGTTTTAGAAAAATCTTATCTCACTCACGGGAATTAAGACCAATATCCCGCCTCTGCTCTGCCTCAACTATCATAACACGAAGAAGGAAAAACACAACACCTTTGATACCCACCGCCAGAGTTTTGTTTACTATACTATCCTCAAGTTAATATTTGATGTAGGGGTGTGCGATATGACGATTTTTAATCGTGGACGATTAAAATGTCTCCACGATCTGCTTTTGAAGAAATATCGTAGTATCGTGTTACAGTGCATTCTATCAGTTCAGTTCTGGCGCCGTCTCAACTGTACAACGCGACGTAGCCTACACATGATCACACGTTAATGAATAGGTAATGGGACACTACAATTCACAAAAGTTCATTATTTGCATAAGCCTTGCCAGTTAAACATTTAATTCACGCGCTGATGTGCTGTTCTAACGTGCGCTTTCCTGACCACATACTCCCGACGCTCACAGGCACTAGAAGCCTGTCAAACAGCGCCTGAATACTGGACTAAGTTATCTCTCGAGTCTTATTATGCTATACTGTTAAATACGCATAATGTTTACATAAACAGGTTATGTCTAATGTGAAAGCAAACATTTGAGAGAATATCTGGTGTAATATGCGTCTATACTAAACGCGTCGCGTGCTGGTCTAAAAGCGACAGGAATAAATAGTACTGCCGCATGTCCTTAAAGGGATAGTTCACCAAAAAAAAAAAAAAAAAAATCTGTCATTATTTACTCACTCTAATGTTGTTACAAACCTGTATTAATTTCTTTCTTGTGCTGAACACAAAAGACGATTTTTTTTAATGTGGGTAACCAAACAGTTGCTGGTCCCCATTAACTTCCAGGAGAGAACCAATAAAAAACTATAGGGGGACCAGCAACTGTTCGGTTACCCACATTATTCAAAATAACTTTTATTTTAAACAGAAGAAAGAAACTTATTCGGGTTTAAAACATCTTGAGAGAGTAAATCAAGACATTTTCATGTTTGAGGGAACTATCTCTTTAGAAAAAGAAAAAAAACACAAGGAGAAAATCACTCACTGACTGAGAACTTTAATAGTAGCTTTAATAAGAATCAGTTCATTCTGTGAAGTCTCTGTAGTGTTTTAATTTCATATTTGTTTAATTTAATTACTTTCTTCAATGCTACTGCTAAATACACCTAGTGCATCTGACAAATAAAACACTATTTATTTAATTTGAATATTAAATTTGTGTAATGTTTATCTTGTCTTATTTTTTTAATAACAAAGAAAATAATGACAAAGATTTTTATCTTCGCCACTGGCCTAAATGTGTGCCTTTCTTTTTTATTTTGTTACCTAAGGCTTTGTTTTTAACATTAGTTTGGCTGTAATGAACAGCCACTTGTAAAATATTAAAACCAACTTGAAAAAGAATCGTGATAAAAAATCGTGATCGTGATTTTCTTAAAAAAATCGTGATATGATATTTTTTCCATATCGCCCACCCCTAATTTGATGTATTTTTTTTAGTTGGCACATCTTCTGTGCTGTTTTGTCCAATCTAGAACATGTAAAACCTCTCCGAATATAATAAATCAGAATCACTCCCATTTCAGTACACCTGATGTGTTTTGAAGAAAACCCTTACTTATTTATTTTTGAGCTGTTTAAAAGTATTTTAACACTATCATTTATTCATTTTAGCACACTGCAAATCCAACATACTTTTGAGTATTTTTGCAAATTTCAAGAAAGTGGTGTCAATAAAATGGTTGCAGATGGCTTCAATGAGGGAGCTGGGGTCTTTTTCTTATGTATTAAAATTTCTTAAAAGTGGTTTTATTGATCATTCTTATTGATTTTAAAAAACATTTTGCCCAGTCAAAAGGTCTTTCATTGTCCTTGTATGAAAATAATGGTGAGCCAATTTGTTGTTTACTAGTGTGTTCACACTTGTAGTTTTGTTCTTTTGGTTCGTACCAAAACAGAAAATAATACATTTAGTCCATATTTTATGCACTAAACGGAGGAATTCCTCCGTTGGCCACAAACGAAAATTTTCTGCAAGGAGACGTGTTTACTTCAGATAACTCTGAAGTGTAGCTCCTATGGTGAGAAAAAGCAGATATGCTTGAGCATTCTGTCATTTTTAGGGTCTCGGTTTGTGACATCACGTCCTGTTTTTGGTCCGTTTAGATGTCTTTGGTCTGTGTTGCGTTCATATTTCAGTTGAACCGCTCCAGAGTTTGTTTGGAAGCGGACAAGCGGACAGAGACTCACCTTTTCATGGGTCTCGGCCCGCTTGTATGATGCACACCAGGGTTCGGACTCAGCACTCACTCAAACAACACTAACAGATTCTGTAGTACACGGGGGCAGTGATGGCGCAGTGGATAAGACGCATACCTTTGGTGTGAGATACCCGGGTTAGAATCGACTGTAAGTCATCAATGTGTCCCTGAGCAAGAACTTGACCCCTAGTTGGATGAATAAATGTAAATGTAGCAAACTGGTGCACTTGAACTTATTTTTTCAGCATTAGCCACAAGGGGGAGACAAATTTTCATTAAATCCCAGTGGCAAAATGCTTACCAAAAGGCTTTAAAGTAGAACAGCATTTAAATATATAAATACTGCTTTTTTTATTTACTAAAAATATAGTTTGCATATATTTTGTGTTATAAAGTGAATTATTCTAAGTCTGCAGAGCATATTTGCATATAATATGAAATGCAAAACTCTTCAGATTCAAGTAATATGCTGGCATGTTTATTTTTAAGCACCATTTTGTTTGCCCCTTTACTTTCTGCATTTTTTTTATTATTTCAGTGTTTTTTGGCCTATTTCAGTGATCTTTTAGTCATAATTTCTTACTTAGCATCACTGTCACTGTTCAAAACATACAAAATTTGTCAGAATAATCAAAATGGTTTTAATAATGAAACATGATAATGTGACGGAAAAAACATTCTTTTTAAAGATAAACAAGATTCTTGTTTATTTTTTCTTTTAAAATTGTTTAGCATACATAGCATTTTTTTCATAAATTTGTTGGATGTCAAATTCCTCATATGTGAATATTTTAGTTTAGGTTTTGTAAAACTGTCTGCTTAGTGTACACGAACATTCATGAACGTTTCATGACACAGTGCAGCTGTTCACGGGCCATTAGAACCGAAAATAAAAACGTATTTGTTTGGAAGATTTCCCGTAGCCATAACTGAATCCAAAAATATGTCTCAGGACTCCGAATTTGTGCAGATTGTGAAAGTTGCAGCACTCTTGAGAGAGCCAATACATGTCGACATCAGTACACTTGACGCTCTGTTCAACTTCCAGAAGATCAGTTTTTCAGAACTGCATTGATGTTCAAATAGGATCTGTTTATTGCACTCGGACTGAGCCAGTTCTCCTGCAGTTTTTTTTTTTTAGAGATCATTACACAATCGCTCACTCTAGCGGTGAGAGGTTTTTTTTATGAACACTGGGACTTTATTCTAGAGCCTGAAAGATTAATGAGCAGATTAACTACGCAGACCATGAAACTTTTAAATGCTCAAGTGCTTGACTAATAGTGTAGGGAAGAATCTAGTTCTGGCAAGTACTTATCTGAGATGAGGATTAATAAATCATAATGAGCTGAAACAAGCTGTGGTACTAAGGAAAATGTATGGCAAACTACATATGAATCTGAAAAATGCAAACACATTTTAGAAATGATGTTAAAAGGGTTGGCCTTAGTGAGAATTTCAAGTCATTATATATATATATATAATAATATATGATTCATATATATGAATACAGTATACTTGAGCTTTGTGACATGACACATTAGCCATCAGAACAGAAGATGGTTCACTGTGGTCGTAAAAGGATGGACATAGTCAGCAACAATACTCAGGCGGGCTGTGGCGTTCAAACAATTCTCAATTGATACTAAGGGGCCCAAAGTGTGCCAAGAAAATATCCTCCACACCATTACAACACCACCAGCAGCATGAATTGTTGATTCAAGGCAGGATAGATCATGCTTCTTTTTTTTTTTTTTTTTTTTTTTTTTTTCCAAATTCTGACTGTTTCAGCAGCAAAATCTGAATGTTTCAGCCGAATTTAAGACTCTTCTTCGTACCTCGCTTAAAGCATCAGAGATGATTTGACAGATTCCAGATAGTCTAATCGTGATAATTGATCTCTGGCTAATTGGTTTTGATTAAAATATCTGCATTAATTATTAAGTTGTCTGATATTACTGTGTGTTCATTGGAAAGGGCAGATATATTGATACTCGAAACCATAATCAGCATTGCAGCGATTGGCTGACTACATGACAACTACGTAATCCCGATATATAATTAAAACTGGAAACAGCCAAGCAGGCAAAATTACACAAATGTTCTTGCTAATAGATAGATTAAATTTGTTTGTTTGTTACACGATTACCTAATAATTTGCATTTTTCACAATGTCTAGTATTTGTACATGTTTACACTTTTTTTAGTGTCAGGAGTAGCCTATAGTAATTAGCAATTCATTTAGTTTTACATTTGATATATTACAAAATAATATTTCTAATGGCACACCAGAATGCAATTTTGTACTGTTATTATTTAAGTTATCTACATCTCACTGCATCAAGCTTCCCGCATAATAGCCGTCACTGTTCAAATAATGCATGGTTCATACCAACAGTGTGTAAGGCTCCAGTAAAATTATGAGATAAATCTCTCAATGAGTAAAGAAATTGGCTCTGTCTATTATTGGCAACACAATTTTGTAATTATTTTCTAATAATTGTTATTATGTATATAAAACATTTCCATTTCGAATTTTAATTATTAATTTCCCTGGTCCAAATCGGTAATCTTGTAAGAAAGTAGCAATGGCTTGGACAGACTTTCACTTTTAAAACAATGCAATCTAATCCTGTTTATGTGGGGAAAAAAAGCCTGTTGCTGAGTATGTTT